TATATACATATATATTTTCCAAGTGTGACGTTGAGGAGTGACCACTGAAAAAGCTCTCGATGTGTTCCGGCTTTATTCAAATTAAAATGGCTACATGCAATTAATTATTACTTTTTGAGCAGGGGGCTCTTGGATAATGGTATGTATGGGAAACACTGCCTTTTCTTAGGTGTTGAACAGAAAGAATAGAAACAGTGCAGAGTAAACTTCATTGTTGTAATGAAAAGAACCAAAATCAGGATAATGTCTCTGTCCAAACAGATAAACAGAAACTTTGTAGATACAGATTTTTGGAAATGTTCCTGGGCCCACAGTGATGTTCAGAACAGTATCAGAGCTGTTTTAAATGCCGCGGCCCCTGAGGCCCGAACAACACTGGCATCTTAAGTGACGTTCAGTCTTTGATTTTAGAGATTTCTCCACATTCTTGAAGATGATAATATGACCTCTCTAATATTTTTAGACTTTTTATTTTTAGTCATTTTACCGACCAGTTAGTCAAAATAGATACAAAATGCTCCTCCAGCTGTTTATATACCACTTACTTTTACAGCCTTTTTTTAGATGTGTTGTTGCCATAAAATTCAAATATACCTTGTTTCCCCCCCAAAAAATGCATAGATTTTTTTACTTAAATATTTTTAAGTTTTTTCATGTTTTACTGTGTATAAAATATGGGTTTATGAGATTTACAAATCGTATCAGTCTGTTTTTATTCACATTTTACRCCATGTCCAGAAACTATTCAAAATTGAGGTTGGCTTTTTTTAAAAGATTTATTTTATTTATTATTTTATTTATTTACCAGGCAAATTCCATTGATATCACAATCTTTTTTTGCAGGGAGGCCTGAGCCTGAAGGCCGACAAATTTTGATGTTTTTGGACAGTGAGAGAAAAAACAAGCACAAGGAGAAAATGCAAACTCCACGCAGAGAGACCCCAGATCTGAGCGGGCGATTGAAACTTTGCCACACAGCAAGAAGGTTTTTAATGACAAAAAGTAGTTGATTTCTGGAGATTATCTGGAGACTAACTTCATGTTTCATGACCCACAGTAGTCCTGTCCCCAGCTTTGGTATCCACCAATATAAATGTCTAATGTCTATTCCCCATGCAGAGCAACATGTTTGTATTATTATTGTCATTCTGCTGGAGAATTTCCACATACATATTGCCTAAACTGCTTCAACTACCTTTTCTCATTACTAATTTAAAGCTAGAAATGACCCAGGTTCATTAAGTTTGATCTAAGTTAAAAGGAGATCACACCGAGCATGAGCCTCATCAAATCCCTGACCCCTGGGATCCAAGTCTCCTGGAAATTTTCAGCACTTTCTGCCTGTTCTGTTCTTTCTTCATGTGAATTTTTGTTATTGTGCATTTTTTTTTGTTTCCCCTCTCTGAATTTTGCTTGGGATAACAGGGTTCCTGCAGATCCTTAAAAAGTCTTAAAAGGCATTGAAAACATCAATCCAAAAATAAGGCCTTAATTAGCCTTAAAATGTCTTAAATCAACCTTTTAGAAGTCTTAAAAATGTTAACTCATTGTAAACAGAATGATTTTAATTCATCTCAAATATTAAAATATTG